CCTTTTCTGCAAAATCATTTTTGCGAGCGTCAGTACTCACATATTTTAGGAAGAAATAAACCAACCTTCTTGTTCACTAGCAACAGCTCAGCATCGTCGTTTCCGCCGTCCTCATCTCGCATCGAATCCCTCATCCAGCAAGTATCTTCGCCCATCGAGCAGCGACTAGCCTCTCCGACACACGCGCGGATATAAGCTTCGACTTTGAATCTGCCGCAAAAGGTCAAAAACTCTGAAAACCAACTCGAGGGAGAATTAACTTTGTATTCTTCTTGATCGAACCATTCGGCAATCCGGCTACTGGCAAAGGTTGTTCACACACTTCAGGGGACCTTCCTATTTCCTTGCACCGTCGGACGGCTCTCATCGACCGCCAGTTGTAATCCATAAAACCGCCCTTCAGACCATATCGTAGCATAGCATAGCGGCTGTGAAACTGGAGACTGGGAGGATCTTGGGACACCGTACGCGCCAAACGTGCGTGCATTGTAGAAGAGTCGTATAAAATCGCGGCACCCACCCGAAGAAGAGAACCAAGGAACAAGAAGAAGCATGTCGCCTTCCGCTGAAGACCACACGATCAGTAAAACGAACGGTTCCGCCAACGGGACCAGCAACCACACTCCTGTTCGTGAGGCTTCCGCCAGCTCGACCTTCACTGCTGTCAACGGAACCCCCAACTCGGTTTCGACCTCGAATCCGCGGCCGGCGGAACCAATCCGGGTCGCGGGGCCATCGCCCCCTTCGGCACCACCACCACAGCAACCAGCCCAAGCGCACTCTCCCAGCCATCAACTCCAACTCCAAAACAACCACCACAACCACCACCACAACAACACGCATCACCACCACCGCAGCCAGACTGCCTCCCACGCTTCCCAGTCTGGCAGCGGGGACGAGGACGCCGGCGACCACAGCGATATCACGGGCTCCAATCTCCAGTCCCCTGTGACCCCGAATTCTCACCCCGATCCGAAATACGCACAGGCTGCTGCCGATAACAGGCCCTTGTCCGTCCGTCCTTCAGGTAGCCCTGAAGGCAATATTCAGAAGCGGAAGAGATCGAATTCTGCTGAGGCCGGGAACCGTGCTGAAAACTACGGCCAGATTCGGGAGATGTCAACTGAGGTTGTCCAGTATCATGGCCACAGTATGCCGATGACCAACGACACACGGATGGTGGATGTCTCCGATGGACCCCGCGATGAGGTTATGCCAGACCGCCACGCCCCTGAGCATATCGCCCAGAGGGCTAGCGAGGAAACCGCCAAGTTGGAGGATATGCGAAACCGGGACCCAGCCGTCTTCGAAGCCCACGTGGCACAGCAATTGCAGGGAACACCACAGAGTGACCATATCCGTTCATACAACCCTAACATGTCTCCAAACATGACCACCATCAACGGGAACGGCCCGACTACTCCTGGTCAGCCTGAAACGAAGCGGAAGCGTATCTTTAGCAACAGGACCAAGACGGGTTGTATTACGTGTCGGAGGAGGAAGAAGAAGTGTGACGAGGGCAAACCTCACTGTTAGTGCAAACTGGTCCCTTTCTTGTATCTTTTCTGGCACAGAACGAAACAGCTAACAAGTACGGCAAACACCAGGCAATAATTGCAAGCGTGGAGGGTTTACTTGTGGTGGATATGCTGGTAAGATTAATTCCTTTCTGGGGCCACTCACTCCCATCGACGCTCCCGGACATCGTCAACATATAATATTTAACGGCGCCGCGTCAACCAACTCTGGTGCATCCGGCTCCCTCTTTGCGCAAGGCCAACAAGCTGATTCGATCTTGGCAAACGGTCCAGCTCCTATTAATACCAGCTTTGCTACTATAACTACCCCGATTATGAGAACGACCCAGGAACGTCCAGTTGTAAGTAAATCTCCGTCTCGATTGCGTCTTTAACCTTTAAGTCTCATGTTTTCTTACCAGCAACTTCCTCCACCTGATTACACCCGCCATCAGCTCCCCCAACCTCCACAGCCAATCGTCATTCAACAAACAACCATGCCACCCGAACCAAAACCATTTGGTGCTACTGGATTGTCACTATCTGGCCCTGCTCCTCCACCACAGGTTCAGCCTATCCGAAGAGACTCCGGGGTCACTCAACATCTACCAGGCCCCGAGCCACCAAAGCCTCAGGCCCAAGTTTCTCCATTCTCTGGGCCACGAGTCCCACCACAGCCACCACTCCCCCAAAGATTCTCGTCCACTGAGAAGGAGAGAATGCTTAATGGTGACCTTTTCCACGCATTCACGCCAGAATTGATCGAAGAAAGGGAGAGATGCCGTGCTGCGTGCTGGAGATTCAACAATGCGGCCAATCCCACATTGTGTATCTCACGAGAAGAGAAGTTGCGTCTACAGATGGAAATCTTTAGGCCATCCGCAGGGACTAGAGGCCCTCAAGGAACCGCTTGGCATGGAGATATCGCAAACGCCCATCTGAGGAAGAACTTGGGTATGCAAGATCCCATCTACCCGGTTAACGAGGAGCCATGGATAGAGGTTCCTTTCATGTGTGACTATGGTTACAACATCACTCTCGGCCCTGGTGTCTTTATCAACTTTGGTTGCACGATTATTGATACCTGCTCTGTAAGATCTCTCAGTCCTATTTTTCTTAGGAAGTTCCGGCTAACAATCAAACTAGGTTACCATCAAAGCCCGAACGCTCATCGGGCCCAATGTCAACATCTATTCTGGTACCCATCCACTCAACCCTAGAACTCGTAATGGTACCAAAGGTCCAGAGTTTGGCAAGCCAGTTGTCATTGAGGAAGATTGCTGGATTGCCGGAAACGTTACTATCCTGTCAGTACTTTTTGTCTGTCTCAAATTCTTCGGTTAAAATCATATGCTGACATTTTGATAGTCCTGGCGTAAAAATCGGCATGGGTGCTACTGTAGGCGCTGGCGCCGTTGTCACCCGGGATGTTCCTCCCCACACCGTCGTCGCAGGAAACCCTGCTAAAGTCATCAAAGGTATCATGGAGCACGAGTAAGACTCTCGGCTCCAAACATCGTATACACAGCGTCTGTGTTAGCCCTTACCCGCCAACTCGCGGCTATTTGCGTCCAACACTCACGATATTCCCTCTCTCCCCCTTTCTTTTTTCTTCTTTTTTGTTCCCTTTTCATTTTTAATCCCATATCTCCTTTTTCATCCCTTAATCACCTCTTTCCTTCGTCTCTTTAATCTCATTGGCTTCGTATATGTTATTAAAATTTGTACTCTTCCCACTGTAACGGCCACTTTGCACGGAAATGTTTTAACGACAAAAAGAATATCTAGGGTCGGGGAGTCATGCGGAATTCGTCTGGTGTTAATGGCGTTTTCTAATTTTTCATTGTGCCTTTCTTCCATGCCATTTCCATTACTTCTACTTACTTCAGCCGGTTCGCGGAACACTGCTGTTCATCTAATAAACCACCATGCAGAACCCCGCTAGGGTCTCACCTGATCTGATTTATGAGACAACTTTCTTCTTTTTTCTTCTCCTTTTACCTTTTCCTCCCTCTTATTTACAGCATGCTTGTTTTATGCATAACTTTATTTCTGTTTCTCTTTTTGTATGGGGTATTTTTATTTTCTTTCAGGCTTGTGCTTTATGGGTTGAGGAATTCCGCATGACTCGTCGACGTTAGAAGGGCGTTAATTCTGTTACACTTGGAATGATTATATACCAAAAACAAATCCTTCCTTTCGCATCTAATACATGTCTTTTTTTCTGTGTATCTTCCCCGAATGTTTGCCCCCTTTTGTATGGAGGCCTAGGATCGAAAAGGGTCCGAGGTCTCCCTTTGAATATATATTTTTTTCTTGTTATTTACCATTTTACCCATGTAGACATGCCAACCGCTTTTGTTATTCCTCTTTTTTATCGGCTACAAAAATACCAAGCCTGCAACGGGACAGGGTCCTGCAGGAAACCTTTCAATGTTCGTGTCATTGTTTGGTTTCGTGTGGGACTCGTCCTCTTTTTGCACAGTACGCTTCTTATCGAATATATTTTCTCGCATACACATTTTGTTTACATATTTTTCCTAGGCAGTGGCGGTGATTTAAGGGAAATTATTTACTCCTTTCCGCCTGTTACATCCTGCTTGACCTGGATTTTACATTTTTCGTCCTCTTTTTTTTTTTTTTTTTTTTTTTGGATGCTCAACCTTTCAAGTTTCTGGTACGAAGTAGCGCTTAGGTTTCCGGTTGACGCTGAGGTTTTTTTTTTTTTTTTTTTTTTTATAGTTCTAACCAACTAACCATCACTACCTGTGTATGTATGTATTTATTTTATACATTCCTAAATACAATCCTTTGAAACCTTTATGTTTAAGTCGTCGTGCACCAGGTTGCTTTGGGAGTAACGGTACGTTGTCGAACCAAATTTGCGAAGCTAGGTGTTTAGCCATCAGCAGGGAAGTTGCCTAGCCTCGATCGCACCTGGAGGTTATAGAGGAACATGCATGTCTGTACATAATACACCACTATGCGTGATTAGGCATCTTAAGTCATCCTAAGAAAACCTTTGGTGGGTGCTGGGTGGTATTTAAAAGTGCCTCGATTGGAAGCATTCGTCTTGCAAGTTTCAAGAACATACGGGATTCGTGGTAGGGGCCTTGACTAACGTTACCCGTGGAAGTTAAAGCCTATGATTTGATGGTAATTGGGGACGATGTGATGGATTGATTGAAAGGACTGATTGTAGAGGTTAGAGTTTGATCAATATCTATCATAATAGCCAGCGGCTACTGGGTGTTATGTGATGGGCGGATGTATTGCCATTTTCTCTTCTCTGGACGCTGGTTAGTTGGTATGTCTGCTATTACATTGAATCATAATTGTTAGGGCTGCTAGTATACTATACGAGACCAGACTCTTCTAATAACACGGCTGTAGACACCGTGACGCATACAATACAGTGCTACCTTAACATTATATTCCCCTATATATACCCCATATTCTCAGTTTAGGTATATACCAAAAAAGGTCCGCGTAGAGTAGTGGTCATCTCGCCAGAATCACAAAAGTTCCCCAGACCCCCCAGTCAGGAGAACCAGAAATGGCTCTGGATATCGCCGGTTCGAACCCGGCCGTGGGCAAAGAACATCTTTTTGTTTTTGCTTTCAATTGCTCAGCTTTTTTTTCTGTCTGCTTTTTTTTGTTAGTTTTTTTTTTTTAATCGGGACTGAAATTGGGGAGGAGGGTTGAGATCGAGATGGTGTTTTGAATCAGCCGATGGGCGCTGCTGGGTTGGACGGGTTGGTGCAGTGATTGTGTTGTATTGAGGCAGGGAACCGTGGCTGATACGGCTTATTCGGTGCCATTAATGTTATACGACAGTAACAGCCGCTTTACGGGTGGTTATCCGCGTCGTTATCGGGTGGGTGCTGTTCTATCATATTTCATATTATAATCAAGATTGAATGTTGGATTTTGCGTGTTGCGGACCTTCCACGTGACGTTGTCTCCAGCCAATCAGAAGCCGGCGATTTCATTTGTGACGGCATGGGTCCACTTCCGCTAACCTCAACCTCCAAACTCAAAGAAACACCCGCCAGATGTTATAACGCCCAGTCGCCAGCCAGCCCCCCCAGACCTCCTACCCCCCCTTCTTCCTCGCCTCAATCCCGCCACCGATTCCTCTCCACCCCGGCTTTTGCTAAAGTCACCAGGATATTTCGAACAATGGCCTCCATAATACCTCGACGTGCCCTGGCGGCCAGGAGCGCTGCTGCCGCCCTCATCCCTCGAGGTATGGTTGTCCCTACCCTCGATATCGCCTCGATATATCCATTCCGAACACCCCATTGACCACTGATTACCCTCTAGCATCCCTCGTGCCTGCTCTGGCAGCCCAGCCCCACCGCGACTCCTCCAGTCTCTCGACCCAACGCTCCACCAGCGTCGTCAGACGTGAAGTCCCACTCCCGAGCCAACAGAAACCCGAAGGCGTCGTCGACTATGCATTGTACGTCCCCAATAGCATCCACTCCCACCTCTCACCACTAACAAATCCTATTTTTCTCCAGAACCACCCTCGATGCCATCGCCAACTGGGCCCGTCAGGGTTCCCTCTGGCCCATGACCTTCGGTCTCGCCTGCTGCGCCGTAGAGATGATGCATCTGTCCACCCCACGTTACGATCAAGATCGTCTAGGAATTATTTTCCGAGCTTCGCCGCGTCAATCTGATGTTATGATTGTTGCCGGTACGTTGACGAATAAAATGGCTCCTGCGTTGAGACAGGTTTATGACCAGATGAGTGAGCCGAGATGGGTGATTTCCATGGGCAGTTGTGCGAATGGTGGTGGATATTATCATTATAGTTACAGTGTTACCAGGGGTTGTGATAGGATTGTGCCGGTGGATATTTATGTACCTGGATGTCCGCCGACGGCTGAGGCGCTGATGTACGGTATTCTGCAGTTGCAGAAGAAGATGAGGAATACTAAGGTATGTTGTCCCCTTGTTTCTTTTTTTAAGCCGCTTTTTTTTGGCTACTTTACCCAAAAACGAATATTTGCTAATACTGGGGATTAGATCACGAGAATGTGGTATAGGAAGTAGTTTTTTTTATAGTATTTTCTTCGGTGGCCTCTAAATTAGAGATTCAAATGACTTCTACCTCCCTTCACATTCCTTCCTTCCGGAATGAGAAAAATTAGGACGGAGTTCATTTTCTTGTGCATTTTTATGTAAATATGGTTTTTTTTTTTTTTTTTTTTGTAAAGCTGCTTCTTTTCATGGTTCTCAGCGGTTTGTAGTATATCTCAAAGGGAAAAAAAGATAAAAATAGAAATACGGAGATTGGAATATTATTATATATATAAAACTACTTATGCACCTTTAGTGGCGCCCAAATATACACCAATTGTTCGATAAACTAGGGTATCTTGGCCGAGCGCCGTTATATATCACGCGGGGTCTTAGAACTATCCTTCCACTAGGTTATACTAGTACTGTCTCCAAAATCGGTATTTTGGTGAGACAGGTGCTATAGCGGGTAGTTATGAGGGAGCGCTGTTTGTATAAAAAGGACTAAAACGAGCCTATATACCATACTATTCCAATACACTTTATATAGGCAACCTAAGATACATATATATGCAGATATATACTCGGAACCAAGCAGGTAATATGATTTCCCCTTCTTCGTTTTATTTTTGCTTTAGAAGAATAGTCAAGGAATAGAGATATCAGATATTTCTTTTTTCAATTTGGTGTCACAGAGTTAGATTGGATAAAAAGTACAGGGCGTGGAAATGAGGATGGATGGATGGATGGATGGAGAGTGGAAGGTAGGAGGGTCTCGAGGGGGAGGACAGGGTCTCGAGAAATGGGAGCGGAGTATAGAGCGCGGAGTAGCTCTGGTGAGGAGGAGGATGAGGAAGAGGCGGAAAGAATAACGCGATGAAGAAGAAAAAGCCAAAGAGCCGGATAACAATGCAATGCACAATTCCCTCCCGCGGACACAAACCCTGGATCTCATGATAGTGAACAGTAGTAGTATACTTATAAGACAGAAAGAAAACCCCCCGTATAGTTAAAAACAATCCAGAAAAAAAAAGAGAAGAACCGAGTTGACCTTTTTCACCCCCGATAATAAAAACAGCGGGGCGAAATAAATATGGGCAAGGCGGTGTTTAAAAAAAAAAAAAAAAAGTAAAGGGAAAAGGAAAAAAATGAAAGAAACCGGACATAGAGAGGGGGATGAGGAGAACAGGCGGGAAATATGAGTTATCTTACAAAGGAATCAGAATTGATAAGAAAAACAAAAAGAAGAGGAGACGAGGTCTCAGACCTGCGTTGATGTTTTCATCACGATGCTAATAAAACCTAGTAAGAGGAGAAGAATAGAGGATTGTAAAGAAGAAAAAGCAAGGAAAAGACATCATCCTTGTTGATGATGGGTTTTCACGGGTTTCATCCAAATGCAAACATCGTGGAGAATCAGAGAAGGCGAAAAAAAGCGGAGAAGATTCAGATCTAGGTGATCAAAGAGGATTCAATCAAGCCTTTGTCTTGGTCTTCTTGGTGCTCTTCGCATCGGAGGCCCTGATGAAGATACTGGTTAGCGGGTAGCTCCGAGAAATGTGTTTTTTTATGCATACGCAAAATATGGGTTTGATGGGGGATATTTGCGTTTGTTCTGCTGTTGGGCCGGAAAGTGGAGATGAGATGTATTTGAACTTACTTGGTTTTCTTAGTTGCGCTAGCCTTAGGAGCCGGCTTCTTCTTGGTAACAGTGGCTTTGGCCTTCTTAGCAACAGCTACGACTTTCTCTTTGACCACTGTTGCCTTTTTCTTCTTGGGGGCAGCCTTTGGCTTGGTGACACCGGCAGAAAAGATCGTGCGAGGAACGACCGCACGGGTGGATCGACGGGTGGGCTCAGTTGGAGTGGTTGGCTTCTTCTTGCGGCCAGGGCCAGATTTGGCGGCTGTGGTATTGGAACCGGTTGTGGGAGCCATTGCTATTGATATTTTTATGTTTTGATGATTGAATATGAAGGATTCTGAGGATTTTGAGGTGGTTGCAGGAGATGAATGGAGAAGGAGATTGTTATGGTTGGTGGAAGAGGTGTGATGGAGAGTTTGTGGTTGGAATTGTTTTTTTCTCTTGCTTTATTTGACCTGACGCCTGGGCGGTGCGGAAGGAAAGAAAACGGGAAAAGCCTTTCTGATAGAGGGAAATATAAAACCTTTGCGACCGGAAAATCGGGAATCTTTTTACGGAAGTGAGTTCTACGGATACTTGCGACAGAGGCCCCGATTCGGAGAAAAAGGAGAATGCAGATTGTGCGATGGAGGTGGAGCAGAACGAGGTGGAGCGGAGAGGGAAGAGGATGTTTGGGGGAAACTGAGGTGGCTGAACGGGGAAACCAACTTTGGCGGGGGAATCAATCAGCTTTTATAGCAGAACACCTCGACCAACTGCTCTTCTGCACACCTCTTTTTCGATTCCACCTGATATTAATATACATACGTATTTGATTCTGCTATATTCCTTTCTGCCACACCTTTTTATCGCCCTCTGTTTTCTTTTTCTTTTTTCCTTTTTTTTTTATCTTATTTTTTATTTTATTTTATTTTTATTTTGCTGGGTTTGTTTTGGTTCTGGTCGGTCATCCGATGGGAAAACCTTCTCGTCCTCTCGGATCCTGCAACATGAGCGGCTCTAGAAGCATCGTCCGTTCCTTTCCCGCACGTGTCGCATGTTGTTATTATTTGCGACGGCCCTGCCTAGCTACCAGCGTACTACCTAGCTAAAAACACACACACGTTCTATCTATTTCTTCGTCATATCCGTCTTGTTCGTTCGTCCAGTCGGCTGGACCTTAATATGTGCGGGCATGCAATGTAGGAACCAGGTCCAGGTTTGTTAGCCGGTTGCGACGTGTACAAGCCTCTTCTGCCCCCCCTCCAACCCCCATTCCCTCCGATAGGTGGTGGTATCACATCTTAATTCTTCATGCAGGTTCGCCTTTCCCTTCTTTCCTCGTTTCATTTGATAACCTTGATAAAGAGGATCATTGCTCTGTTTTTTTCCTTCCCAATAACATTTTCCAGCTGTGGGTTTGGATAATTGTATTGTGCGATAACTGTTGCTACAGCTGAAATGGGTTTCGGATATCTACTCTATCTAATCAACGATACGAGAGACTCGACAAGTCATGAGGCTCTTGGTTTTTGATGTGCGACTTTTTTTTTTCTCTTCTCTTTGGTTTCCTCTTTCCTTTTTTGTTTACTTATCGTTTTTTTTTTTGTTTATAACAGCGGATTAAATAGTACTTGCATACGATATATTATCGTCCGCCGATTTTGAGTGATATATTTTTTAAAACCCTCCTTCTTAGCTTCGCTCTATTCGATTGTTACATTATTGATATCTTAGCATGGGTTCCTGTGTCGTAAAAGATACGTTTTGTTTGACCTTATGATTTGTATTCCCGTTTGAAGCTTTGGCTTCCCCAAAACTGGCGGACTGATTGGGTCGGTTCCGGCAAGGTGTCACAAGATGTTCCCCCCCTCCGTTAAGATTAGTTTTCCCAATTCCAAAATATCACGGACCACCACATGCGTTGGATTGTTCTTCAGTTGT